TTATGGAAATAACACTTTGCAAATATTACGCTAAAGAAAATGTACTATCAAAATTAATTGCGGCCGGTGCCGCGGCTCACTAAGCTAATCCTCTGCCTTGCGACGCCAGCACACCGGGTTCTAGTCCCGGTCGGGGCACCGGATTCTGTCCCGGTTGCCCCTCTTCCAGGCCAGCTCTCTGCTGTGGCCAGGGAGTGCAGTGGAGGATGGCCCAAGTGCTTGGGCCCTGCACCCATGGGAGACCAGGATAAGTACCTGGCTCCTGACATCGGATCAGCGCGGTGCACCAGCCGCAGCACGCCGGCCGCAGCGGCCATTGGAGGGTGAACCAACGGCAAAAGGAAGACCTTTCTCTCTGTCTCTCTCTCTCACTGTCCACTCTGCCTGTCAAAAAAAAAAAAAAAAAGATTAATTGCACCTTTCTGTTTTTCTTTGTTTTTAAATTTGATAGGCAGAGAGACAGAGCTCCCGTCCACTGGCTCACTCCTCACATGTTGCTCTTGTCAGGGCTGGGGCTCGGTTGACACTGGGAGCCAGGAACTCACTCCAGACCTCCCACATGCGTGGCAGAAACCCAATTTCTTCTTTTAAAAAAATATTTGAAAGGCAGAGCTACGGAGAGAGAGAGAGAGAGAACGCACGCGCGCGAGCGCGCGAGCCTCTTCCTTCCACTGGCTCATTCCCCAGATGGCTGCAAAGGGCAGGGCCAAGGCTAGGATAAAGCCAGGAACCAAGAACTTCACTGGGTCTCCCTGGATGTCCCAAGTGTCTGGGCGCCTGCCATCTTCCACTGCTTTTCCAAGGCCATTAGCAAGAAGCTAGATCAGAAGAGGAGCAACTAGAACACGAACTGGTGCCTATGGCGCTGGTTCAAGTCCCACCTGCTCCACTTCTGATCCAGCTCTCTGTTATGGCCTGGGAAAGCAGAAGATGGCCCAAGCCCTTGGGCCCTGCACCCGCATGGGAGACCGGAAAGAAGCTCCTGGCTCTGGATTGGCCTAACTCCAGCCATTGCAGTCATCTGAGGAGTGAAACAACAGAAGGAAGACCTCTCTCTCTCTCTCTCTGCCTCTGCCTCTCTGTAACTCTGCCTTTTAAATAAGTTAATAAATATATCTTTTTTAAAAAAATAGGTAAGTAAATCTTTAAAATAAGTTTATTTTGATGAAAAAAATTTGAAATCCATGCATACACATATACAGAATAAAGCAAGTACATGTATGGCAAAGTTTTTAATAATTGTTGAGTGCAGAGGTGGATATCTGGATAATCATTTTTCCACATTTTGAATTTCTATGTGCTTGAGAATTTTCATAATTAAAACTTCAGAGAAATCAGTTCTTTACGTACGATGGGCATTAGAAGCAAAGCACATAGTCTGTTACCATGGTGCTTCCTGGCCTGCATTGCCTACTTTTTTTTTCTTTAAGATTTATTAATTTGAAAGAGTTAGAGGGAGAGACAAGAGAAAGAATGATCTTCCATCAGCTGGTTCACTCCCCAAATGGCTGCAACAGCCAGACCAAAGCCAGGAACCAGGAGCTTCTTCCAGGTCTCCTACATGGGTGCTTGGGCCAAAGCACCTGAGCCATCTTCTGCTGCCTCCCCAGGCACATTAGCAGGTTAACTGGCTCTTCCGCTCACACAGGATACAGTCTTCACCTGCTACGCCACAGCACCAGCCCACCACTTTCCTCTTAGAGAGCCAACAACTCCTGAGGACTTCCCTCCACACGCACCCCCTACACACCCAGTCACTGACGATCAGACCTGAAGTGAACACCGTACTGGAAGCAGCCAATCAACTGTCTCACCTACACCCTCTGGTATCTGTAGCCCAGCCCACATAAAGGAGCTGAGCCAATCAGATTTCCTCTCCTGAAAATGGGACCTCAAATTTGGAAACTCTCACATCAGTAACGCACACTGTAGTTGAAAGATCCTAACCCTGGAGGTGGCAGCAATGCACAGATAAGGAAGCAGGGGAGAGAGGGAGAGGAAAAGCGACCAAGCACAAGGGGCTTTACAGAGCAGGCTGACCACACAGAGGGACACAGATCGGGCAGCGCCACCCCAGAGCTGGAAGGTTCCCTGCCTCCACTTCCCTCACCCTTCTTGGCCCCAGTACTACTTTATACCTAGCCCAAATAAAATTAACTTCCTGCCCTTGGAGCCTGTGAAATCTTAGGATTTTCTGACCCATGAGATCCCTAGGGACCGTACAACAAGCACCAGTGATGTAGTTGCTTTAAGGTCCTCGCCATTCCGAAAGGCCTCGAAGTCTCTGAATTCATCAGTCTCAAGTACTACGAAGAGTTAATACAGATGATCATTAATTCCATTCCTGAGTATCAGCAAAGCACCAGGCGGCAAAAATTAAGTAACAGAACTTTTATTATGAATGCCACTTAGCTATGAATAAATCCACAGCACACTGCCTGCTCCTAATAAGTGTCAAGTGATTGTATGTGGACTTTTTTAAATTGATTTGAGCGCCCCAACAGTCAGGGCTGGGCCAGAAAACAGAGAATGCAACCCACATGGGTAGCAGGAGGGCCAGGTCAGGAACCAGAATCCAGCATCAAGTTGGTGATATTCCATGATTTGGGAGAGGGATAGCTTAACCACTAGGATAAACATAGGGTCCCAGGTGCTCTGAAAATACCTATCCTTTCAATGGCTACTTATTTACTAGGCAAAAGTTATAGTAAAACTGTTCCTATACTCTTGAGCTAAGTCAGCTATGGAAAATTCACCAGTAAGAACTATTAAATATTTCCTAGGAAGAGCACATTAATGTTTGAGCTGACTCAGACACAATCAGAGCATCCTATGATGTGTGTGTGTGCATTGGGGGGGGGGGGTGTTAATGGGAAAACTAGCAGCAAAGTACCTAATGTAGCACTTTGAAGAAAATTCATGCCTCAGAGTTTCTCATAGAAAATGTATATAGTCACTCTGAAGTAAAAATTTGGAATTTTACAAAAGGAGCCTCTAGTTTAGGGGATGCCTTGTGTGAGAGACAACATCCCACCCAGCCCTCACACTGCATATCAGCTTAAGAATACATGCATGCAATCTGTTATAAACACTGTCTGCTCGCACAAGGCAAGCTGTATATACAACTGGCGACAAAACAACTTCTGCCCTAAGGGAAGGTTCCAGAAACAGTTTTTTCTGGAGGAGCGAGTCCTGTTTCAACCTACCTTTCCAAAGGGCCCTGCCCCAGCTGCTCACAGGGCCTTGAGGACAGGGGCCCTAGGGCAGAGCTTGAAATCAAGACCAGCTGTTGCAAGTATTTTTAAGAGGGAACCTAGAAACTGACAGGAGAGATTAAAACACCCCATAGGTTCTGAAATGGAGGGAGCTCTCCCCACCAGCAGAGCTGTGTGTCTGCAGTGGTGCTGAGAGTGAGCGAAAGATGGGACCCCCACACCAGCAAACAAATACACAAGCTGAGGCCACTGCTAAGTGCTGTGGTCCTTAAAGTGTGTCCACCCTCCTAGAATCCCTTGTCAACCTGCCACAAAGAATCAGAAATAAACTGCTTGCCCCTCCCAGTTCCTCCTCCAGAGACTGAACCACCCAGTCAGATAACTGTGCAATTAACTCGGAAATTCACTTGGCACTTATCGGGGCAGGCAGGGTGCTGCTGCAAGGCATGGTGGAAAACAGAACTCTAGCCCTTGACCTTCATAGCTCAAATGCAAGACAAGCATGATCACCACAACGGGAGCAAAGTGCACTTCTTTTCATTCCCTCCCTACTTGGCCACAAGCACCCATGGGCCTGAAAAGGACAAAAGTGAGGTTAATTCCCCTGCTGACTGAGCTGGCAAGCCTCCCAAAACGCTCCAACAATGGGCTCCAAAGGAAAAATCCTAACATTGGAGTTGGTCCACAGACAGGGCTACAAATGACTGGGGGGATGGAGGACAGTCAGGTCAACACCTTGTGTGTGTGTGTGTGTGTGTGTGTGTGTAAGATTTTATTTATTTGAAAGGCTGAGTTACAGAGAGAGAGAAGGAGAGAGATCTTCCATCTGCTGGGTCACTCCCCAAATGGTTGCAATCACCAAGGCTGGGCCAGGCCGAAGCCAGGAGCTTCATCCCAGTCTCCCAAGTGGGTGCAGGAGTCCAAGCACTTGGCCATCTTCTGCTGCTTTCCCAGGTGCATTAGCAGGGAGCTGGATTGATAGTGGTGCAGTTGGGACTTGAACCAGCGCCCATATGGGATGGCGGCCTTGCAGGCGGTGGCTTAACCTGCTACCCCACACCGACGGCCCCAAGCCAACATCTCAATGGCATAAAGGGATACCAAGCTTCCATCAAAATGGTGCTTTTAAGTATCAACACTAGCAACCTGTTGACAGACTGCTAGCATATCTACCAACGGAAAGGTACCCAATATGCCCGTCTTAAAAATGCAAATAGCAGGAGTTGCAAGAGTGGCAGTGGGAGCACGGAGCAGACGCTGTCAAATCGGAACGTCCTGCCAAAACCCACCCGGCTCCAGCGTTCCCCTCTGTTAACACCGCCTTGTGCAGCTGTGTTCGCTGAACACCTGTAGCTTCCTGGGAACGCCTCCCAGGCAGGTCATCTTGCCCCACGCGTACACCTGGGCCCCGCTCTTGTCTCTCCTCAGGTCACTCCGACCCACTCACAAAATGGGAATGATGGCACAGTTCTTGCAGAACGGAAGTCACAATCCGTTTCGTATCTACATAATGCCCAGCACGTCTGCCTGGCCTCGCTGGCAGGCCCAGCATCATTCAACAGGTTCCACGAAAGCACAGCGCCCGCAGCTGCAGCAAGCATAACACAGACCCAACTTTGCAAGCACCTCTGCCGCCGGCCCCGGCACCTGCCCGGGCCAAGCCAGCTTCGCCTGGGCTGAAGGGGACCCAGGAGAGCCAGCAGGAGGCCGGGGCCCAGCCCCGTCGCTCCCACTGCGCTCAAGGACAGGAGACCTGGGTGCCCACCCACTCTCGCAGCCCTTTACCTTCCAACTATCAGCACATCGCCGGCCGCCGGGGAAGCCATGGCGCGGCGTCTGACTGGGCCGGGACTCGGCACGGTGAGCACGAAAACTAAGCGCGGGCGTTGGTGCGGGTGCCAGACGCGCGGCTGCGCTCGGGGCCGGCAGACTAATAGGGAGACGGGGAGGGCGTGCCTCGCGCCCATTGGCTCCGCGCGCGCCGGGGGTGGTGCCCGAGCTGCGGGAGGGGCGGGGCGCGCTGGGCTGTGCTGGGCGCCTTCGGGGCTACCCAGGGGGAGGGGGCGCGCACAGCAGACCTAATGGGAAGCTTGCGAAGGGGGTGGGGGGGTTGGAAAGCCGGGAAACCGGACCCTCCCCCTCCAGTCTCGTTTGTATCCGTTTCAAAGTGTCTACCGTACACCGCCACATCGGTGTCCACAGGAGGGGACGCTGCCGGGTTGGCACAGGCAACCGCCAAAGCACCCCGGAGAAACCTGCGGGAGAATGTCCCGTTTGGAGATCGTAGCGCCTCTCCCTGCCCGGGCAGCGCAGGCCTTGGCTGCTAAGAAACCTGCCTGCCGCGTTGCTTCCCCGAGGAGCGCAGAGGCCCAGGGACTTGGGGGACAGCTCCGGGGGTGTTGTGCGCCCTGGAGGGTGTTGCGAGCGCGTGCACAGTACTTCCTCCTTCCAGAGGCTGACTCGGGCATGTGCGAGAGACAGGAAAGGAAATGTCCTCGTGCCTGGAGGACCGGGGGGGGGGGGGGGGGGGGTGTCGGGCGCTGCAGGACAAGCCTGTGTCCGCACTGCAGAGCTGAAGGGGCAGCAGCAGGGTCGTCGGGGCGGGGCCGGAACAGCGGACCCCAGCTGCAACGCCGGCCAGCAGCCAACTGTGGGACCCACGGAGCTCTTCCTGTGTTTGTGTCCCCTCTTGAGGATCCTGGGAAGGAGAAGTCTCAGAGGGACGGGCCAGATTTTAAAGAACCATTTCACAAATTGTTAGTAGTCAGTTGAAAAGGTATCAACCCTCCTTAAGAGACATAAGAAGTAACACGAAGATAAGTCATCTTTCACCCCTAAAACTGGCTAAATGACAGATTGGTAATATATCCCATCTGTAAGGGTTCTTTCGGACATGTGCCAGGACCTCAGACATGTGCCAGGACCTCGGACATGTGCCAGGAGGTTCATGGAAATGGAACGTATCTTCTCATTTTAGTGCAAATTTTTTTAAATACATGAATATGAGAGAGCTTTAAAAATACATGAAAATGCATATTATGAAAAAAAACCTCCCTGGATTTCAAAATGTTTTTGCACACAAATATTGTATCTTTAATCTTACTTTTCCATAGATTTTTTTTAAGTAACCTCACCTAACTTTAACATACAATGGAGGGGCCGGCACTGTGGCATAGTCAGTAAATCCACCGCCTTCAGGGTCAGCATCCCATATGGATGCCAATTTGAGTCCCAGTTGCTCCACTTCCAACCCAGCGCTCCGCTATGGCCTGGAAAAGCAGGAGAAGATGGCCCAAGTCCTTGGGCCCCTGCACCCATGTGGGAGACCTGGAAGATGCTCCTGGCTCCTGGCTTCCAATCGGCACAGCTCCAGCCATTGTAGCCATCTGGGGAGTGAACCAGAAGATGGAAGATCTCCCTCTTCACCTGCCCCCCCACCGCGCCACGTCTCTGTAACTCTGCCTTTCAAATAAATAAGTAAATCTTTATTTTTATATATATGTATATATACATATACAATGGAAAGCAGGCTTAAATTGGCATACCATGCTGGGGGACATGTTACAGTAGGAGACTGCTTCAAAAATTTTGTGGAGGGGGGGGAGTTTGGCCTTAGTAGTTAAGATGGCCCTGCCCTCTCCTCCCCCTCCCCATAAAGATGCTCTAGCTCTGTATCAGAACACCCAGACCCAGTACCCTGCTGCTGACTCCACCCTTCTGCCTCATGTAGAATCTGAGCAGTAGCAGGGATGGCTCAAGTAACTGGGTTCCTGCCACCCACACGGGGAACCTAGAATGAGTCCCTGGCCCAACCTGGCCCAGCCCCAGCCATTTCAGGTATTTGGGAAGGGAACCAGTAAATGGGAGTGCTCCCTTTTGCTCTTCCCACCTCCCCCAAAAGCAATAAATAAAGATGTCTATTTTAGTACAATTTTTTTTAATCCATGCATAAAAGAGACACCAAAAAAGCCATTAAAATGCACATTATGAAAAACAATGCAGGGCTGGCACTGTGGCATAGTGGGTAAAGCTGCCGCCTGCAGTGCCAGAATCCCATATAGATGCCAGTTCGAGTCCCAGCTGCTCCAATTCTGATCCAGCTCTCTGCTATGGCCTGAGAAAGCTGTGAAAGATGGCCCAAGTTCTTGGGCCCCTGCACCCATGGGAGACCTGGAAGAAGCTCCTGGCTCCTGATGTGGCCAATTGAGGAGTGAACTAGTGGATGAAAGACCTCTCTCTCTGACTCTCCTTCTCTCTTTGTGTAACTCTGACTTTCAAATAAATAAATAAATATTTAAAAAACAACAGCTCTCAAAAATTTTTGAACCAATAAAAGCTTCTTTTAATTCCATTTTTCCATGAACTGTTTTTTGTTTTTAATTTGAAAGGGCTGAGAGACAGAGTTCTCATTTGTTGTATACCCCTAACAGTGCCATCTAGGACCCGGGCCAGGCTGGGGCCAAGAGTTCAATCCAGGTCTGCCATCTGGCTGGCAGGAACCCAGTTACCTGAGCCATCATGGCTGCCTCCCATGGTGCACAGTAGCAGGAAGCTGAAATCAGGAGCGGAGCTGGGTGTCATGGACCCCAGGCACTCTGATGTGGGTTGCAGGCACCTAAGTAGTGTCCTAACCACCAGGCTATATGCCCGCTTCTTCAACGAACTCTCTGAAGGCTTTGCATACATTATTGGGAGAGCAGATGGCTATGGGCCGTGAGCAGCCCTGCGCGCTCTGGCTGAATGGACCAGACTCTAACGGCGCCTCCTCAGACTCACAGGCAACAACCGTCCAGATGCAGTACAGCTGCCTCAGCAACCTGCACAAGATCTCACGCCCCATTGCAATCTCATTTCCATGCCAAAGGACATGCCCGCCAGTTCCATGACAGTGGACAACGACCATGACAATCACCAGGGGAGCCCACAACGTGAGCAACCCGAGGCAGCTCCCCCATCCGAGAAGTACACCACTGTTCCCGTTCCCGAAGTCCACAACTGTTTGCCCCATTGGTGAGCGTTGCCTCCTCCTCAGTCTGATTACCCTGTGCCTATGACTCCTTGGCCTCCAGCAGGTGGAAAAGCTGGTTTTCAAGAGAGGCTTCTGCAAGGGGTCGGCACTGTGGCAAAGCAGGTAAAGCCACCTCTTGCGGCACCAGCATCCCATATGGCCGCCAGTTCAAGTCCCTGTTGCTCCACTTCCTATCCAGCTCTCTGCTTGGCCTGGGAAAGCAGGAGAAGATGGCCCAAGTCCTTGGGCCCTTGCACCTGTGTGGGGAAACCCAGAAGAAGCTCCTGGCTCTTGGCTCCTGGCTTCGGATCGGCACAGCTCCAGCCGTTAAGGCCATTTGGGGAGTGAACCAGCAGATGGAAGACACCACCACCCCCCCCCCCCGCCTCTCCTTCTCTCTCTGTATATCTCTGACTTTCAAATAAATAAATAAATCTTCTTTAAAAAGAGCGAGAGAGAGAGAAGCTTCTGCTTCTCCATTCTTAGCCCCTAGAAGAATTGATGTTCAGTTTCATTTCATTATTAATTTTGTGACACCAAACAGCCCCATCTTGGGGTCTGTGCCCCCAAAATAGAGGGGACATTAATGCTGAGCTGTTTCATAGTTGTGCATACCAAGTGAGTACCCTGTGGCTACTCGGTGGGAATGGCCAAGGGGGACTAGCTTGTTTGCTGCTGGCTACAAAATTTACCCTGGGGCCTGTGTTGTGGCATAGCAGGTTAAGCTGCTGCCTTGGCACTGGCATATGGTTGCCATATGGTTGCCAGTTCTACTCCCAGCTGCTCCACTTCCTATTCAGCTCCTTACTAATGTGCCTGAGAGAAGCAGCAGATGACTTGAGTACCTGGGCCCCTGCCACCCAAACAGGAGAACTGGATGGACTTCCGGCTCCTGGCTTTGGGCTGCCCCAGCCCTGCCTGTTGGGGCCATTTGGGGAGTGAACTGGTGGATAAAGGACCTCTCTCTCTATCTCTCCCTCTTTGTAACTCTGCCTTTCACATAAATAATAAGTAAATCTTTTAAAAACAAAATTGATTCTCTGCTAACAAAGTGCTGTGGGCCCTTGTCCACTGCAGCTGCAGGGGTCATTCGGCCCTCCATGGAACACTGTGGAAGTTCCAGGCCCAGACAAGTATGCCAGCATTGTCCTGCTGTCATCGTAGTAAGCCATCTATCGCTGATCCAGGGGTCTTGCGTGCTCTGTCAGCATCCACCTACAAAGCCATGGCAAGCTGACTTGTTAGTTTGCACTGGGGAAAATCGCTGATCATTTGTTACCCTGTTAAATTTCAGCAGTCCATTGTCTCCTGCTTAGTTCCTGCACTAAGCCCCAACACAAAAATCCAAAGGTGTCAAACCCATTCAAAGCTGATGTCTGACCTTCCGAAAATCAAGACAAAAAAATGACCAGAATTCCCAAACAGGCCCACCTCAAACACCTGTCCAGGAGGTTCCTTCTGCTTCAACCTCTTACGTTTTATGGTCCTCACCGAGTTATGTGAAGTAACCTGACAATAACCAATCAGAGATTTCTCTATTGCTCTGTCTCCCTGTCCCTACATTTCATTTATTTATTTATTTTTATTTTAGCTTTTCTTTAAAGATTTATTTATTTATTTGAAAGGCAGAGTTACAGAGAGCCAGAGGCAGACAGAAAGGGAGAGGGGTCGGCCGGCGCCGTGGCTCAATAGGCTAATCCTCCACCTTGCGGCGCCGGCACACCGGGTTCTAGTCCCGGTTGGGGCGCCGGATTCTGTCCCGGTTGCCCCTCTTCCAGGCCAGCTCTCTGCTATGGCCAGGGAGTGCAGTGGAGGATGGCCCAGGTGCTTGGGCCCTGCACCCCGTGGGAGACCAGGAAAAGCACCTGGATCCTGGC